GCGACATCGGCCAAAAGACCGTTCCCACCATTCCTCTTGGAGAGGCCCCCCACAACGCTCGTCTCATCCTGGTGGCCCTGGCCTATGTTCGCGTCGATGACATCGACCAAAAGACCGTTCCCACCGTTTGCGGCTCTCTTCCGGTCGCCATGGCTAGAGAAGACGGCAGAGGTTTCCTAAAGCGAAAGTTAGCATGTGTTTCAAGGCTCAGGAGAGCCATATCAAGGCGTGTTGACGAACATCCTGGTTGCCCTGTCCAATGTTGATATCGGCGACATCGGCCAAAAGACCATTCCCACCGTTTGCGGCTCTCTTGCGGGCGCCATGGCTAGAGAAGACGGCAGAGGTTTCCTAAAGCGAAAGTAAGCATGGGTTTCAAGGCTCAGGAGAGCCATGTCAAGGCGTGTTGACGAACATCCTGGTTGCCCTGTCCAATGTTGATATCGGCCACGTCGGCCAAAATTCCGTTCCCGCCGTTGGCGGCTCTTTTGTGTCTGAGTCCACCCACGACGCTGGTTTCATCCTGGTGACCCTGTCCGATGTTGGCATCGATTACACCTGTAGTAGTTAGCATGGTCTGTTAAGAGTGCGAGGTGGCATAAGGGATAACTCGTACTAGCGAGAATTCCGTTCCCATCGTTGGCGGCTCTCTTGTGTCTCAGTCCACCCACGACGCTGGTTTCATCCTGGTGACCCTGTCCGATGTTGATATCGGCCACGTCTGCTAAGATACTAAGGGATTGTTAGCAATGAAACAATGGTGATCGAAGAAGACTTTGTACCCATTCCCGCCGTTYGCTGCTCGCTTGTGTTCGACGGAGCTGGTCTCAACCTGGTTACCCTGTCCGATGTTGATATCTGCCACGTCTGCGAGGATGCCATCTAAAAGCCGAGTTAGTATGTCTTGGATTAGGAAAGGGAAGAGCTCTAGGACATACTGCCTCCATTTCGCTTCTTAGGTCCTAGTCCACCCACGACGCTCGTCTCGTCCTGGTGACCCTGTCCGATGTTGATATCTGCCACGTCGGCGAGGATGCCATCTAAAAGCCGAGTCAGCATATGTCTTGGATTAGGGAAGGGAAGTGGAGAGCTCTGGAACATACTGCCTCCATTTCGCTTCTTGGGTCCTAGGCCACGGTCAGAGTCGACATCAATATCAGTTTTAGCGACGTTGGTAGTCGTTGTGAAAACGCCTCCGAAGAACTTTGGGCCAATGTCACGCCTGGCGGGTCCATGGGAGGAGGGTCCATGGGAGGAGGCGCTGTCAGAGTCGACATCAATATCAGTGTCAACGACGTTGGTATCCGATT